AGAGAAATTGCTCAGTGGTTAAGAGCACTAGCTACTTTTGCAAAGGACCCAGATTCAGTTCTCACAACTCACATGGTGATTAACAACTATCAGTTCCAGGGGCTCTGACACCATCTTCTGGCCTCCACAGGCATTGCATGACACAGGGTGCACTTACATACACACAGGCAAAACACTCATACACAGAAATAAAAATAAATAAATAAAAATTTAATTTCCTTTGTTCTTTCACCCTCAGTTGAATTCATATCTTGGCTATTGTGAATAACGCTGCATTAACCGTGGGAGTGCAGGTGTTTCTTTGGCTATATACCCAGTAGTGGGATTGCTGAATCATTTGGTAATTCTATTTCTAGTTTTTCAAAATAAACTCTGTATAATTTCCCATACTGGTTGTATTAATGTGCACTCTCATGAACAGTGTATAAGAGTTCCACTCTCCCCACATCCTACCCATCTGTCATTCATTTTTGTTTTGTTTTTGTTTATTCTTATTTTTATATGTATCAGTATTTTGCCTATATGTATGTAAAAGTGCACCACATGCATGCAATACCCATGGAGGCCAGAAGAAGACATTGGATCCTCTAGAACTAGAGTTCTGGATGGTTGTTAGCCACCATGTGGGTAACAGGAATGGAAGCCAGGTCCTCTGTAAGAGCAGCCAGTGCTCTTAATAGCTAAGTCATCTCTCTAGCCTCTTGTGTTTTTTATAATAGCCTTCTACTTGAGATGAGATGATATCTCATTATGGTTTTGATTTGCATTTCTCTGATGATTAATAATACTGAACATCTTTTTCATATAAATGTTGGCCATTTCTGTATCTTATCTTGAGAAATATCTATTTAGATCATTTGATCCTTTTTTTTCTCATGTGCATGTGTGTGGAGTGCAATCACATATGTATGCATATTTGCATGTGTGTGGGCTCCCATGTGTGCATGTGTGTGGAGACCCAAAGTCAGTAACAAGAGTCTTCTTCACTCCCTCTTCACCTTATTCATTTAGACAGGGTCTCTTAATTGAGTCCAGAGCTTAGCTATACAGCTTGCTCTACTCCCTAGCCCCATTTGCCTCCTTTCCAAATAAGATTGTTTTTGTTGCTCAGTTTCTTACTAGATTTGCATTCTGTAGTAGGCTTTTGCTTTATTTGGGGGGGTATATATTTATTTTATTATTACTATTACTATTATTATGTGTATGTCTATGTGCATGATGTGTGCATGTGGGTACATGTATTATGATGCACCTGTGGAAGCCAGAGGACAACTTTGTGAAGTCTCTGTTCACTTTTACGTGGGTTGCTAGGCTTGGGAGAGAAATGCCTTTACCCACTGAGCCATCTTGCCAGCGTTTTCTTGTTTTTTGTTTTGTTTTGTTTTTGCTTTTGAGACAGATCTCAGGTAGCCCAGGCTGGCCTCAAACTTACAGTGTAGCTGAAAATGACCTTGAACTTTTAATCTTCCTGTCTCTACCTCCCAAGCATTGAGATTGCAGTGCCACCACACCGTTTATATTGTGTTAGAGATCAAATCCAGGACTTTGTACATGCTAGGCAAGCATTCTACCTGAACTGCATCTCCAGATCCCCATTCTACAGGTTTTCTCAATACCCAGTTGATTCTTTCCCTTGCTGTACAGAAGCTTTTTAATTTGAAATAATTATATTTATATATATATACATATAATACCATTTATTTTTGGTATTGTTGCTTATGCTTTTGAGTTCTTATCTACAAAAACGTTGCCTACTCTGATGTATTAGCATGTTTTCCTTATATTTTCTTCTACTTGTTTTATAGTTTCATGTCTAACATTTAGAGAATACTCTAAATTCTACTTTCAGGCTGTGTCCTGACCACCCTGACACTACTCAACACTCTTCCCCCGTCTCAGTCTTGGCCTCCACCACCATTAGCCCTGTAATCACCCTGGCCTTCTTAGAACACCTCAGACCTCTAGGCCTTTGGGGTCTCTGGCTTAGGAAGCCATCCATTTCATCACTGAAACTGAGATTGGTTGAGTATAAGGTGGTTATTCAGGAACAATTCTTGCAAAAAAGTGGGAGTTAACAAGATGGGCATCGAAGGAAAAACTGATGCAGGCCTGACAGAGTCTCAATCAAACTGCTAGGGAGACCCTGGCACAAAAGCATTCACCAGATTCTAATGCTGTCTTGTCCAGGACTTTCCTCTCCAGCTAGAACCTGACTGTAACCACAGGTAAGGCACACCTCCACACTATCAGTACTACTGTCCTTTATTGTTCTGGAAAGCTCATAGGCCACCTGACCTGGCAAACTTTCACGCAGGCTTCTTTTCCTCCCAGGCAGTTATTATAGTTTGTAATCACATGTTCGTGTGTGTGATGAGTTGAATGACATCTGCTTTGGTTATGAAACTGTTCTATGCAGGGACAGTCTGTTTGACCTATTGATGTCCTAGAACTTAGAACAGTGCCTAGCACATGGTAGGTACCCAATAAGACCTTGCTGAATTAAGGAATAAAAACAAATACCATGCCTTGCAAACACATAATTCCACTGTGCAGGTGGACAGAATTGTATATTTGAAACTTTCACCTTGCTCACAGGAAGAGCGTTCATGATCATCTCAGTCAGGTTTTATCTTCAGCATTTGGGATCCTGCTCCAGCAGGCTAGCTGGTATAGACAACAATGCAAAAGTGAAGTTTATAGTTACCCATCACCATTACAATTACCATGAAGAAACTCTTCAAGGCTTAGTGCGTTGCAATCAGCAGTTCAAATTTCCAAATTCAGAGAGTTATGCAAGGCTGATCCCACTGTCCCGGGGGAGGGAGTAGAGGTGCTATAGCACCTGGTTATAAAGGACAATTCCTACTCTACACTCTCCTAGCTGGCTGAACAAGTTGCTCAACCTGAGCATTTGTAAAGTATAAATAATACTGCTTGCCCTTTTGTACATAGTTAAGGGTGGTTCACAAGAGAGGAGTTTTGTTTGTTTTTTTATCAGCACCCTCCCCTTCCTACCCCCTCTGAATTAAACCCTGGCCTTCAAGAATGCTAGACAGGCTGTGTACCACTAAGCCACATCCCCAAGCCTAGGGCGCTTTCTTATGCAATCTCAGAGAGACACATTGGCACTGGACATGTTAGGGACACTAACTACTTGTTTTTTGCAACAATACATTAAGTCCGAAGCATGCTGGGTGTTGTTCTTTCAGTTGTACAAATGACCTAATGTTCCCTTCTCAAAGACCTCCTCCCAGCTCCTTTGTCACTACTGATAGGGTATAGATAGCTGGAATGACATAGTACAATGACTCAATAGAGGATAGTGAAAGAATGTATTTACATAATGTACAGGTCAAAGTTAAGTGTGTTTTGGAGGAGGAGGGAGAGGGGGGAGAGAGGAGGAAGGGGAGGAGTGTGTTTGTGTGGCTCCTCAACTGGACAGAGTGAGTAATAATGACATTGAAGGTAGTGCAGTTCTCAGAGGCCTAAGCCCATTAGGAGAATCTTCAACCTGGAAACTAAATTCATGGCCACTGAAACAAAGCTGGCTAGAACACCTTGTAGACAAAGGTACTGGGTGATGGAACTACTGTATTAAAAGTCCAAAGAATTTCTTTCCCTTCTCGTCCTCTGGGAGCCAGGCCACAGAGGAGACCTAGCATACCTCTATGTTCCTCCATACCTCTCCTTAATAAACGCTTTCTTTTTTGTAACTAAAAAAAAAAACCCAAAATGAAGCCCAAACAACTTTTCAGGACCTTGAGAAGTTAAGCCAGTTTGCTAACATAGAAGCATTCAGTTATTTCTGGTTTCCCAGATACATTCCTCCTTCATCAGTAACCAAATTTCATCAGATTAAAACATATGGCATTCTCTTGACAAGAGATTAAATGAATGATGCACAACATTAGGATTCAAGTTTTGGAAAAATTTCCTCCTGAACTTTCTCCTCATAGGTAGTCCCAGAATTCCAGTTACCTTCTCCTTTACACAGCTGGGTTTACTAAGCGCCTCCTCTCCCCACCTTTCACAAACCTAATGTGTTTGTTGGGGTGTGGGAACCCTGGCCTATTCTGTCTAAAAACTCCCAGAATCACAAAATTTCCAGCAAGGGGCAAGAGAGCCGTTTAATATAATGCATTTTGCATATAGGGAGTCAGAGGCAGAGGGAAGGGAAGTGGCTCCTCCATGTAATCTGTGTGGATGTTAGTGCCTCAGTGTGGGTAGCTTCCACTGTGTTTGCACCAATCCCACACCGCCACCCGGTCTTGTTCGTACTTGTTCTGCACGTACCAGGGAGCCCATTGGCTCCAAAAGTGATATTACCAAAAGTAATAGCCACCATTTACTACACGTTCATGCTTCAACAAATACTAAGTGCCTACCATTAGAAGAACTATTAAAGATGCTGTGAAAACGATGAGCAAGAAAAACGTTGTTCCTTTCCTTCTAAGCTTGGGGAGGAGGGCGGAAATAGTAGTACCTTATTTAAGGTAATTTTAGATGCTAGGAAGGCTATAAAGAAAATAAAATGGTGAAATAGGGCTTCAGATAGAGTGGTCCTTTCTCACAAAATCGCCAGAGATTTTTGCTGACAAGAAGACTGATACTGAGAAGGGGTCAGCATGGAATCATCAAGCTCCAGAGGCCCTGCTCCCTACAGCTGCTCTTGAACGGTCAGTGGCACCATATGGCCCTGGATGATGAAACTCGGGGCGAAGACTGCATCATCCGTGTCCTTGTAGGCTCTGCGAGGGGAGTGTAAAGGGAGGTGAGGTGCGCGTCCAGGCAGAAGCAGCCAAGCAGCAAATAGCTCTAAGTTCTCCAAAGCTGCAGGAAGGGACAGCCCCTACCAAATCCTCCTGGTTGTCTGTTCCCGAAGATCCGCCCAGCCGCGGGCCTAACCAGCCAACCGATCCCACCCGGAGCCCCGCCCCGTCGGGGCCCGCGCCAGGCACTAGAGGACTTGTAGTTTCTCCATCCCGCCACAGCTGCTCTGCTATGGCCGGGGACAACTACAAGGCCCAGAAGGCAGCGCGCGGCCCAAGGCGGAGCGGACGGCAGTGGGTGTGTGAACGCACCCGGCGGGGAGGTGCGGATGCCGGGCGCTTGGATGCGGTTGCGGGCTCCAGAGCTCGGGAGCTGTCCTGGTGCACGGTAGCCTCGCGCTGAGCGCGGCCAGGCGGCGACCGTCAGGCACGTTGCATGCGCACCACTGTGCACACCCTTTGCAGAACCCAGCTGTGCAGCGTTTGGGCGCCGCAGTGGCGCGGCGGAGGGTCCCAGAAACCGGGGGATGTGAATCCAGCTCCGGAGCTAGGCTGGCACTGCTTGCAGGGAGCCTTTGGCTCTTGCGGGACGGGTGTCCACCTTGGGCTGTACGCGACGTGTTTGTTCTGGTTCTTTCTGTGCCAAGGTTTCCCTCCGCAGGCGCGCCATGCAGCGGGCGGCGGTGCTGGTCAGGCGGGGCTCCTACCCCCGTGCGGCCGGCTCCTGGGGCCGTAGTCAAAGTAGCGCAGCCGCCGAGGCCTCACCGGCACTCAAGGTGCGTCCGGAGCGCGGCCCTCGCGACCGCATCCTCACCCTGGAGTCCATGAACCCGCAGGTGAAGGCGGTGGAGTACGCTGTGCGCGGACCCATCGTGCTCAAGGCCGGCGAGATCGAGATGGAGCTGCAGCGGGTGAGCGCGGGGCCTGCGGGGCGGGAGGCCGGGGGTCTCTGGTGGCTGGAAGGGCCGCGGCAGGCCCCGCTGGTGTCCTCCGGTTCGACTTCCACCCCCGTAGCCAGCTTCTTCATTCTGCCACTTTCCGCCAGGACGAGAGAACGCCCTCCTCTCGTCCATCACCCACCGGTGCCCAGCATCTGTCACAAAGTGAGGCCTTCAGACGGTTCACTTGTTGAATTGTATCCAATTATTGAGCTGCCTGGGCCGCCGGGTACTGCATGTTCCTTGTGTGTCTTACCCCCGTGGGACCAAGAGCCATTCACGGGAAGAAGGAAAACAAGCGAATAAAGAAGTGAGAGTTTCAAATAGTGAATAAGTGCTTTGAAGAAAGTAAAATGAAGGGACTTGGGGGTGGAATAGTTGCTGGATGAGGTGCTGAGAGGAAAACCATATTAAGTGGGAGGGAAGGGAGGGCAGCTGTGCGGATACTTTCTTCCTGAAGGCTTTGGATCTTTACAAGAGTGGAGTTGTGGAGGAGGGTTTGACAGAATTCCTTCCTTGGTACCTCCAGAACCTTGACTGCTATAGGAGTCAGAGAGTTGGGTTCTTGGGACTTATTGGTTGTTGGCTGAGATCATGGCTTGAGTTCATAGCTGTTGTAAAAAAAACTGTAGGGCCATTTCTCCCTGCCCACAGCCAGAGTATCTTGGCTGTATTGTAAGTCCTGCCCTTGTTTGGGGGACAAGGTCTGACTGTGTAGTTCAGGCTGGCCTTGGACTCCTCATCCTCCTGCCTTACCTCCCATGTGTTGGAATTTCAGGCTTATAGCCACACACCGCCATGCCCTGCTAAGATACTGAGTTCTAACCTGGGTGAGCTCTAACTTGGAAGGCAGAGTGAAGAGAAAACACTCAAAAGGAAATACTCCTAAGATTTGTAAGAAGCAAATGACATAGTTGCCAGAGAGTGCTGACCTGATCAGAGGTGAGTGATTGTTCCCACAGAAACTAGATCCCAGTGTCTCCAGGGTAAGGCACTCAGTGTCCTTCATTACATGAGGTGAGATCTTGGGCCCCCATTCACATGGGGAGTTTGATGAGTTCATGGCCTGCTGATACCTACCTCATCAGGGACACCGAGTTTTGCTGATTCAAAACAGTGACTTAGACAAATCACAGTCCGGTGTCTGTTGCCGGACTCTTTGCAGGGTTAAGTTTAAAGTTTAGCCTAGAGAAGACTAGCTCCATTTCTGTGCCTGACTGGCCTGCAGAGGGGCCAGAGGCTGAATACAATTCTGCTGCTCTGCTCCTTGATATCTGGTAGGGTGCAGCTGTTCCTCCTTGAGGCATCAACCACCCTGCTAAAACAAAGCTAGGATTAAAGTGTTCCTTGTTGATCACATCACAGCTGATTTGAGCTGGGAGAGGTTCCAGGAATTATCTCTACCTTTTGCTGAATAGCAACTTCCGTCTTGGCTCCATAAACTAAGAGAATGGTGAGGACGCAGAGGTCACTGATTTTGGTTTCAGGAAGTTTTCAGGCCACCATATTATTACACCAGCCTCCCCTCCCCCAACTCATTAAGGTTTGGTGGGATTTTTTTTTTTTTTTAGGAGGCAGAGACTATGTGAGAACATTCCAAGAGGAAGCAGTGCTGTGAGTAAAGGCAGGAAATTAGGAAGTTCTCATCTTCGGGGAAGGGGTTTGGTGCATTTAGTAGAAGTCTGTGTGGCTGAGGGAGGTGATTGGGTGAATGAAATAGAGAGGATGGACTGAAGTCTTATGAGGGGCTCAGGACTTTACCATGTGTCTTGGCTGGACATGGCACAGTAAGAAGAGTTTCTAGCTGGGGTACAGCTCAGGCAGATACATGCCTTGGCCATTGGTCCAGAAGCATCCTCTGACTTCCAAGACAGATAGATGTTCCACATTGTCGTGCTTGACCTCTGAGTTAGCTGAGTTCTCTCTGTCCGTCCGCATTAATGGTACTTTCATAGAACCTTGTCTCCCCTCACTCTCTTCTCATTTGGATCTTAGTAGTCGTGTAATACGTGTTGGAAGTGTTGCCCTGGTGTGGCCAGCGTGGCTTCCTTCAGCCTCTTAGCCTTTCATTCTTGGGAGACTGTCTCCCTTCACTTTGCCCCCTTAATCAGTGCACCTTCTGAGAGTCATTTGTCAATTCTTTCTTTTTCTTTCTTTTTTTTTTTTTCTGGTACTGGGAATTGAACGTAGGTCTTCACACATGCTAGGCAGACACTGTACCACTGAACTAGAGCTGTACTCTCAGCCCTGTTTTGTTTTTGGCTTGCTTTGGCTTTGCATAGCTTTGTTTTTTCTACTTCTGTTTTGAATTATAGTGATCAAAATTGGACTAATGTTCTAAGGAGTTTGATCTGGTAAGAGATTTGTATGGTTTACAATGACTTAGGGTGAATTCCATGCATGCTGTGAGCCTCTATTTCCCCGGTTTGTAAAACGCAATTGCCTGATTGTCCCAGGACTTCTCCATCTCTAAACCTTCTACATCTAAACATGTTCTGAAGGACCTGAGATGACCCCTAGTGGTTCCAGGATCTGCCCCCTTATGGAGTTGTTTTAGCAGGTGCTTTGTCAACAGTACAGGCTGGACACATGGCTCTGGTGTTTGTCTTTAGGGTGGCTGGCAGAATTTAGTTCTCATGCCTTTTGCTTCTGTGATAAGACAGCCTGAAGTAAGAGGGGAAGCACCTAAAGGGTGTGAATGGGGGTGTTCTCCAGCCAAGTTGTTTAGGGTCATGGAGGCCCTGTTTCTCCCTGACAGCAACTCCACAGAGGGAGAACCTGTCTTAGCTTTTCAGATCTGGTGTTCATTGGGAGCGGGACTTTTTTAAAAATGTTTTATTTATTATTTTTATTTTATGTATTTGAGTGTTATGCCTGCATGTAAGTAAGTGCACTCGTGTCGTGCAGTCCCCTGGAGGACAGAAGAGGCTGTCAGATCCCCTGGAACTGGAGTTATGGACAGTTGTTAGCTGCCATGTGGGTGCTGGGATTCAAACCCGGGTCTTCTGCAAGAACAATCAGTGTTCTTAACCGCTGAGCCGTTTCTCCAGCCTGAGCAGACCTTTTTAATAAGCTGCAATTAAAGGAGCTTTTAAATGATTTGACAGTTTCACAACCTACTTTTTCCTCTTATGTTTTTGAGGGCAAGGATCAGGACTTGGCACAGTACAGACAAAGGAATGTCTTTACCTTTCCACTTGTAAAAGTACACACAAGTCAGGTGTAGTGGCACAGGCCTGGAGTTCTAGATACTTGGGAGTCTGAGACAGGAGGATTACTTGAGCCCAGGACCTCAGGGCCAACCTGGGCAACACAGGGAGACTCCATCTAAAAAACCAAAAACATAAAAGTGCTTGCACTGGGAGTTCAACACCCAGAACCCACACAAAAATGCTGAGCGTGGTGTACTTATAAGCCCAGTGCTGGGGAGGTGGAGACAGGAGACCCTTGGGGCTCACTGGCTAGCTGGTTTATACTACTCAAGCCAATGAGAGACCCTGCCTCAGAAAACAAGGTGGACACCTCTTATGGAACCATAACCAAGGTTGACTTCTTACCTCCACACACATGCACATACACACCTACACCTGTAGGAACACATACAAAGTAAAGTAGTGAGTGGTGCATGCCTGTAGTCCCAGTATTCAGGAGGTGGAGGCAAGCAGATCTCTGAGTTTAAGGCCAAGCTGGTCTACCTAGCAAGTCCCAGACCAGCCCTGACTATATAGTGAGACCCTATTTCAAAGAAATAAATTAATAAGTAAGTAAATAACAAAAAAAAATTCACACAGGGAAGAACATTCAGAATTTGAGAAGACTGATGATAATTGCTACCATCACACAAATATATTTTTTTAAAAAAGAGATATTGCCGGGCGAGGTGGCACACGCCTTTAATCCCAGCACCCAGGAGGCAGAGGCAGGTGGATTTCTGTGAGTTCAAGGCCAGCCTGGTCTACATAGTGAGTTCCAGGACAGCTGGGGCTACAGGGAGACCCTGTCTCAAAAAGACCAAAAAAAAAAAAAAAAAAAACAACAAGAGATCTTGTCTGAGAAATAAGGTAGAGAGCAATAGAAGAAAGCACCCAACATCATCCTCTGGCCTCTACACACACATACCCATGCTCAAGTGCACACCTGCACACACACGTGTACACACATGGTGGAGAGGAACAGAGAGAACAAATTTCACCAGTGTCAAAACCATAGACTTGTATCTTCTAAATTTTTATTTGGGATACTTCTGGGAAAGCACAACTGGAAATCGGGAGGTGGCCTTCCCACGTGATCCCTTCTTTCTCGACCATGACACTGATGACCTCCTTCCTGGGCTAGCTTTGGAAGGTATGGTTTATTTCTGATCATCTTTTCCGTCGCCCTGGCAGGTTCTTGAACCTGTCCATTCTTCCTCCAGTAGCTAATTCCGGATTTATCAGAGAGCTATATAGAATCCCCATGTCTCCACATCTCTACCATCCTCACCTTTGCAGCAGCTGAAGTGCTTTCACTCACCCCCAGTGTCATCCACATGTCTCTGAGTCAGTCTCTCTGTGATCCTTCTTCTGTGCTCAGCTCATTGCCTCTTTTATCCTTGCTGCTTAAAAAGGAAAAGAAAACCAGCCCATATTTTACATCCTTCAAAACCAGCATTGTAAGACAATAACTCCAAGAGTTAGTTCCCAGGAATGAATGTCTTTTGGAGGGGAAGGTGAATTCAGTTCTCTAGCCTTCTGTTTATGCTATGGAAGTGAAACTGTGCTTGGGCACAGGAGACAGGCATCTCAGCACTCCCTCTCTGACATCTGGCATTTTGCTGCTGACTTCTACTTCTCTACCACCACATTTGTTCCAGTGATTCTTTCAGACATCCCTGTGAAGTGATACAGACCTGTCTCAGGATGCCCCTGCCACCTAAAACAGCGATTCCAGTTTTTCTAAAAAGTGGGAGGCTGGGCTAGAGAGATGACTCAGCAGTAAAGAGCACTGAGTGCTCTTACAGAAGACCCAGGTTCAAATCCTAGCACCACATGACAGCAAACAACTGTCCCTAACTCCAATTCCAGGGGATCCAACACCCCATTCTGGCTTCCATGGGTACTGCATGACATGGGTGCACTTACATACATGCAGGCATAACACTCATATACATAAAATATAAATAAATAAATAAATAAATAAATAGCTGGGTGTGGTGGCAAATGTCTTTAATCCCAGTACTTGGGAGGCAGAGGCAGGTGGATCTTTGTGAGTTCAAGGCCAGCCTGGTCTACAAAGCGAGTACCAGGCCAGCTAGGGCTACAGTAGGGAGACCCTGTCTCAAAAAGACCAAAATTAATAAACAAACAAACCAATAAATAAATAGTGGGAGGCAATAGAGTATGGTGGCCAGGAATCATACTGGGGCCTTCTTCCAGGGTTCAAATCCTAGTGCTTTTATTTATCAATTGTGTGACAGTGGGCAGGTTTCTTGGCCTTTTGGAACCTCAGTTTCCTCATTTGTAAGATGAGGTGACTATTATTTCTTCCTCATAGAAGTGGTTCAGAGGATTAAATGGGATCAGGCATGTCAAAGGCTTGGTACTGTCCTTGACATTTGGTAAGGCTCAAAATAGAACTGCTTATTAATATCCTCTGGTAATACTACCACTTGGACTCAGGAATCTAGAGTCTAAGAATGCTTTAAGTAACCACCTGATACCTTCTCTCTCCAGGGCATCAAAAAACCATTCACTGAGGTTATCAGAGCCAACATTGGGGATGCCCATGCTATGGGCCAGCAGCCAATCACCTTCCTCCGTCAGGTGAGCTAGCCCTCAGGAACAAGGCTTTTGGGAACCAGGAACTGGAGGCTGGGAGGGGCCAGTAAAGCAGGTACTAGAATCCCTCAGGGAGGTACCACTGAAGTGGAAGCCCTTCCCAGTGCCTCATGTCCCCGTTTCTCTCCCTTAGCAATTTCCCTTCTGAGGTTTTCAGAACTTCCTAAACCCATTTTGGGGTTGCTCTGGTATAAGAAACTCCTAGGAAGGTTCTTCAGTATAAGGCATGGGTGCTAAATTTAGAGCTTTGTTGATTGCTGTTCATGGTGGTGCACACCTTTAATTCCAGCACTTGGCAGACAGAAGCAGCCAGCTGGGGCTACAAGGAGACCCTGTCTCAAAAAACCAAAAATTTTAAAAAAGGAGCTTTGATGGAAGGGGTGTTCATGTAGGCAGCAGTGGGACAGAAAGGCAGAAGCCCAATGGACTGGAAAGAGGTATGTTAGAGTGAAAATACAGCCCAAAGGAAGACCCCAGATTTGATTGTTTGCTCTGCTGCTGGTTTTGGACAAGTAGAACTCACCAGAGCACAACCTTGAAGGACTGGTGGAGGCCTTCCTCCAGCCCAGTAGAAAGTGCATGCTGTGATAGCCATGCCACATCACATGACTGCCTCCAGTATAACCCAGCTCACTCTTAAGGGCTCTAGGATATGGTGGCTTTCAGTGTTTTATATATGAACAGCAACCACAAAATGTTTCATGGGCTAAAAATGTGGGATGAATGGGCCAGAGAGAGGGTAAGCATGGTGGGAGAATGCCACAGGGCAGTGTGGACAGAGGTGGGGGACCCATATATGAAAGCTTTTTCCTAGAGAAGGACTGGGCCAGTTTGGTGCCAAAATGCAGTCCTGTATGTGGTTAAGGTCACAAGCTAGGGCAGATAAGGAATTTGTGCACTAGCAACCTGGTTCCCTTTTCCCTACCTGTGTCTTCACCAGCAGAAGTGACATGAAGGAAGAATGTCTCCACCCTGCTCTTTGAGGCAGAGGGCTGTTGGGGGATTGGTAGGCCCCAGTCATAGCTCATGCTCCCTAGAGGAGAGCATGCAAGGCTGATCCTGGTCTAAGGAATGTCCTGCATTCCTGCTGTCCTTCAGAGGAGCTAGGGAAGTGAGTCCCCATGGCTATAGGCCCAGGATGTGTAAAGGGAAGAGACCAAGAAATAGCTCTGCCAGAAAAGCGGGAGGAAGGCTGAGGACCTTGGTCATCAGCAGAGGTTCCAGATGTGTCTGGAGCTCAGATCGTAGACAGGCTCCAAAGCAACACTTGTTTTTACTGTCTGCCAAACTCCATCATCAAAGCCAACAGTTTAGCCTCTCCTACATGGTGTCAGCCACATCTAGCTTTTACCTGCCTCCTCTGATCTTCACAAGTGCCCCTGAAGGAAGAGTTGGCCAGCTTATTGCTCATTTGTACAAAGGCAGAAAAGCCAGGCTCCAAGATGCTGGTTAGTCATCTGACTGATATCAGATCTATGACCTGCTCCCCTCAGTGCACCTGGTGTGACTCCTCGGCTACCAACTTTAGACGGGTGATCTTGGCTTTAGTGGCACCTTTTTTACACATGTCTTTGGTTAATCTTCTTAATTTGTGTAGTTAGGGTGCTCTTATATTACGGGGTGGGGGGGAATTCTGTCCCAGCTTTCAGATAGGAGATGACCAAGAGAGGAACAGGGTGAGAGGGGCCTCAGGCTGTGAGTCTGCAAGGTCTGTAGCCTTCCTTACCCTGTCACCTGGGTTTTGATGCCCACCTAGGTCTGCCCCTTACTCAGGTCACCCTCTCTAGTTCTTATGACCCTAGGTATTTGGGCCCACTGTTCTTCATGAATGAGTGGAGGCAAGGGCTTTGCAGCAGCCTCACACTCTGCCATGGCTCCCATTTTGGCATCTCATTTTTGTGCCAAGCCTTCATTATGCTGCATCTTGGCTGTCAGAAGCTCTCCTGCTGCAGGGAGCCAGCATCTTCCTCTTTGCTGCCCTGAGCTTCACAGGTTCAGCCCTTCATGGAGAGGCATACTGCACAGTTTTGGAACTGTCATCTCATTGTCCTTTGTCCAGTGTCCTCTGTGCTTGGATACTCTATTGCAAACCTATTCTGCACTTTTTCCCCTAGGTGATGGCACTCTGCACCTACCCAAACCTGTTGAGTAGCCCCAGCTTTCCAGAAGATGCTAAGAAACGAGCCCGGCGGATCCTACAGGCTTGTGGTGGAAACAGCTTAGGTGAGGCTCGATTCACCAGATCCTCAGGGGTGTGAAAAGAATGTGGGTTCTAGGATGGCACTGGGCCCCATTGCCAAGCAGAGGGCTGTGCTACGACTGTGTTAAGGGTGTGAAAGGTGGCTCACATGCAGAACATGTGCAGTTGAATACTTTTTCACCCTGTGGTTGCCATTTTTTGTGGGGGAGGGTCAGACTTAAGTGCAAGTACCTACATTCTGTTGCATTTAGGTCCTTTAGCTCGGCCACAGGATTAGTCTAGTGATCAGCCTCAGCATTTGGAGGTGAGTGGAAGGGCAGTGCCCAGCTTTACTCAGCTTTCTTGTGTCTCTAGCATTGTCTGAAGATAGTTACCACTTGCTGGGGTTGTGAAGCACTCAGGATCCCTCTGGCCCCCTCACCCTAGCTTCTTTCAGTCTAAATGTGCCATACCCCCTCCCACTCTGCTCCTCTTTGCTGAGAGCCCACGCCTAGCTGTCTGCCTCTGTCCTGATAGAGTGCCAGGTCCAGAGGGCTCCATGGAAGGAGGTCCTGGAATTTGGCCCCTGTAGTTGTGAAAATGATACTCTCCCTCCCTCCCCTGCTTAGACGCCAACTCTTGGCCTCTGGCTCCTTGTTCTCATCTCATTTTCTTGCCTCTGTTTATCTTCCTCCTCCCAGTGCCTCACAGCATATCTCAATCAAAAACCAGTTGTTCTTAAAGCTCCCTTAGGACATGTGCCCTAATGTTTTGCAGCCTAGAGCTAAGAGTGAGACAAAGATTTTTGTGAGTTGTTCAGCCGGGGAACAGTCCCCTTGGCCTTGGTTCCTGTGTCTCCCCATACTCCCACCCCCGCCCGCGCACCCTTACCTTTTCTGCTCTCCCTTGTTGTGGGCTCTGTGCTTACCTTCTGGCTGTGGTCACTGTTCTAATTTGCTTTCTATTGTTGTGATAAAAACACTGACCAAAACCAACTTGGGGAAGAAAGGATTTTTTTATTTGACTTACAGCTCACAGTTCATCATCGAGGGAAGCCAAGGCAGGAACTCAGGGCAGGAATCTGGAGCACAGACCATGGAGGTATGCTACTTACTGGCTCGCTCTCTGGCCTGTGCTCAGTCTGCTTTCTTATTCAACTCAGGACCACCTGCTCAGGGATGGCACTGTCTGCAGTGGGCTGGGCCCTCCCACATCACTCAACAATCAAGAAAATGCCCCACAGACATGACTGCAGGCCAATCTAATGGAGGAAATTCCTTGATTGAGGTTCCTTCTACGCAGGTGTGTCAAGGTGACAACTAAAGCTGTCCAGCCCAGTCACCCTACCAACATTCTTGATCTGGGCACTGTGGCTTCTCTCTTAGGAAGGAACCAGTGCCCCTTGCTTCTCTGCCTGCCAGCCTGAGGCCTAAATCACAGACTGGCAGAAAGGTCCAGAGGCATCTCTTCTCCTGCACCTTCTGTCCAGCACAGAGAACAAAGACATTTCTCAAAGAGCCTGTGGCCCTGAGATCTCAAGAAGCTCCACTGGAGAGGGAGGAAAGGGGGAGTTTGACTTATTTGTGTGATATGAGGGGAAGAGGAAATGAACCTGTTTCCACATACTGAACTTCCTCTACAGTTTTTTGTACCTCTCTGTCAGCTGAAGCTGGGAGGTGGGTGGGAGGCTGTGTCCATGGAAGGACTCTCTTGGGGTATTAAAGCAAGAGCCCAGTTTGCCATAAGGGTTTTGTGGCCTGTGCTAGGTTTTGTCCCAAGAACTTATGAATGCAAGCAAGAGGAATGTATTCTGAACCTTCCTCTTCATCTTTAACCTGGGAAGTGCTTTGTCTAGACTTGTAAGGAAAGTTGATCTGTATGCTAGAGCCCCATGTTAGGTGTAAGGACACAACCAGGCCCTGCCCACAGCAAGGAACAGGCAGTGTGGTCCCTCTCATGACAGATGTCAGGGTGTCACTGTCAGCCATGCTTGGCCAGCCCAAATTGTTTCCTGCCATAGAAGTAAAAGGAAATGAAATGTCAGTATACCCCAGGACAATGCTGACCCAAGTAGGAATTATTAAATATGTACGTTAAGTCCTTTTTTTTTTGAACTAAAAACGTTTTTTAGTTCTTTTTCATTTTACATGTATGAGTGTTTTGCCTGTGTGTATGTAAGTGTACCACACACATGTAATTTTCACAGAGCTAGAAGAGGACATCAGATCTCCTGGAATTGGAGTCATAGGAGGTTGTAAGCTACCATGTGGGTGATGTGAGCTCGGGTCCTCTGCAAGAGCAGCCAGTGCTCTTAACTACTGAGCCACCTCTCCAGCTTCCACTTAGTGCTTTCTTTATTGTCTGTTTGATAAGGAATTCAGTTCTCAGATTGTGTCCTAGATATTAAATAGGACTGAGGTGAAAGCCCAGCACATTGCCTAAGGAGGGCGAGCTGTGTGCCTTGTCCAACCCCACTCTGAGCACATAGCATGTACCAGGTGCTGTTTACAACACTAAGGGACACAGGTGACTGAGGTGCATGGAGTTTCTGTGCTTGTGAAGTATATTATTAGCTTTGAGAGAAGCAGACATTAAAAATAATTCATGTTGGGAGCTGGAGAGATGGCTCAGCAGTTAAAAGTATGTATAGCTCTTACAGAAGACCCACGTTCCTAGCACCCATGTTGGGTAGCTCACAATTACCTGTAAGTCTAGCTCCAGGAGGATTCAACACCTCTGGCCTCCACAGGTGCCTGTACACACATGAACATTCCCACATGCAGATGCACACACATAAACATAATTAAAAATAAAATCTTTAAAAATAATTCGTATGAATTTTATAGGCATGTGTAATTACCAGTTTTCATGATTTATTGAATAAAGGGTAGAAAACTATAGAATTAGATCAAGGGATCCTAATGTAGAGGGAGCGCTTAAGAGGACAAGTTGGCATTCAAGCTCATGTGAAGGATGAGTGACAGAGAACTTCTAGATGCATGCTAGATAGAGGGAGCAGCGTGGACAAAAGGTCTGGGGCCAGGGATGCTCCAGTGCTGGGTGTGAGATAGGGTTCAGGGAGGCTAAGGAGTTTGGCAGTGGTGATGGATCAGCTTGTGGACTGTAGAAAGTAGAGTAGCAGTCACTCAGGGAAGTGGGCTCTAAGCAAAGGTCTCATCGAGAGAGGGCAGGTGCTAGGGGTTACCTCTAGGCCCTGCTGAAGCTGCTTAGAGCTCTGAGCTATTTTGGAACACTAATGTCAATCATTCTCTCAGGTTCTGTGGAACCATGTGTAGGCAATTGGTAAAAGCCTAGGAACCTTAGATCAGATGGGTTCTGTTGTCTAAAAACATATCTAAATCCCAGGGATGGACACTGACATTTGCTATTACAAGCTAGAGTGCTCAGTAAATACTGGGTAAAAGAATGGGTGGATAGATGAAGCCTAAATCAGTAGTTAAGTAGCTTGCCACAATTCCAGAGCCTAGAGCAGTGGGAATCAGTCCCTACTTAGCCATGATAACTCCCAGTTAACAACATGGATGTCATTCCATGACATTCCACACGGATGTGGAACCAGACGTCCTACCTCTAGTTAACTAACTTGCCTGTTGTCTCACAGGATCTTACAGTGCTAGTCAGGGTGTTAACTGCATCCGTGAAGATGTGGCAGCCTTCATCACCAGGAGAGATGGTGTGCCTGCTGACCCAGACAACATTTACCTGACCACAGGAGCTAGCGATGGCATTTCTGTATGTACAAGGGTGGCCCATTCTTACTGTGTTCACCTCAGTGTGAACATTTCTCAGTGTGAAAAACAGTCTTGCATGTTAGAGTCAATTGTTTGACCTGGCTAGCCAGGAGACAGGCCTGGTGGGAAGAGTGGGCCACTCTCTGGTCCCCTTGTCCTGGTAGAAAGAAGAAAGAAATCAAATATTCCTTGTTTTTTTTTTGTTTTTTTTTTTTTTTTGTCTTAATGAGCCTGGTTTCTCAGGAAATCTTTAAGTGCACACCTCGCTCAGCTTGACAGTAGGTACAAGCACCACCTTGTGGCAGTGGGTATATGTTAACAGTCTCCTATTTGGAAGTCTTTCCAGGCATGCATGGAGGCTGGTGATTATTGATAATAAAAACAGTTTAAAGGAGGATGTCACAGTGAGGTCAGAATGATTCTAGGTTGCGACCAGCTTTGATGATACTGTTTTAGAAATTTTCTATTTGTTTTGTTTTATTTCAGATAGAACCCCACAGTGTAACCTACACTGACCTCAGACTCATGGTGATCCTTTTGTCTTAGTCACCCACATGCTAGGATTATAGATGTATACACCACACCCAGTCTTATATTGAGTCTTCTATGACTGCTATGTATTGTGTTAAGAACTTTAAAACATTCTGTTTTACTTACTGTTTATAGCGGTCCTCATGTTCAAGATAAGGAAACAGAATGCGAAAAGTGAAGCAACTTGCATGGGGTTGTACAGAAGCAAGCAGTGGGGTGAAAACTGGGGCTCAGGCATCAGACTTGTAACAAGCTCTTGAAGGACAAGAAATAGCAGGCACCCTATAGATGCTACTTTCTCTTGCAGACAATTCTGAAGCTCCTTGTCTCAGGAGGTGGCAAGTCACGGACAGGCGTGCTGATCCCTATCCCACAGTACCCGCTGTACTCTGCTGTCATCTCTGAGCTTGATGCTGTCCAGGTGAACTACTACCTGGATGAGGAAAACTGCTGGGCCTTGAATGTGAATGAGCTCCGGCGGGCAGTGCGGGAAGCCAAAGACTACTGTGACCCCAAAGTTCTCTGCATCATCAACCCTGGAAACCCCACAGGTCTGCACTTAACTCCCCTACCACTTTCTTGAGGGGTTGGAGTAGATGGTGAACTAGGCATTTGGGCACTAAAGAATGAAGTAGTGTGAGGTCCTCTCTGTCCCATTTTCCCAATGGAATTCCAGATTTGCTAACAGAGCCATGAAACTTTCCTCAGACCATCCCAAAAGGCAAGCAAACAGGCATTTTCTTGAGCAGAGTTCTATTATTGCCAGGACCAATCTAACTGCATTCACAAAGAGCCACCTCCTTGAGATTATTCACACAGTCACCAGCAATCCAGGGCTCATTTTACTTTTCCTCCTTCTTGTTTTTCTGAGATTGTTTCAGAATGCTGATGTGTGTGCAGTTATTCCTTTGAGATGGAAATGTCATATATATTAAAAACAAAAGCCAGTAAACAACAACAAAAAAACCTGTTTCTAAAGGTTGAGAAGCACCCAAAATTTTGTTTGTCTTAAAAAAAAAAAAAAAAAAAGTTTGCAGTCCTGGCTGTTTTGACTTCGGGACTTCTGGCTTTATTTGTCTCCAGGGCTATTTGGATGCAGAGAACAAGGACTTCTTTCTCCTCCTTTGTTTAGAGCCAAATGTACTTTGTTGGAGCCAAAGTACATTAGAGTTGATTGTGGAATCTGCTTCTCTGGAACATTAAATGATGCTTCAATCAGCTGAAAGCAACCACTCTTAATTCCTGAATGCAGCCGAGATGTAGCTGGTGGCAACACTGGTTTATTTACTCCAGTGCCTTTTGGGGAGGGATGAATATTCCACCCTATGATGCAGTAGGAAAATGACATGGAACTGTGTTTTCAATCTGGGCTATGTATCAGAATCACAAAGTGAGCTTTGAAAAAAATCTCAAGCCAGTTCACACTCCTGACTGAGGAAAGGGCCAGACAGACATCAGTATTCTGATTTGAGAATGACTTTCTCAGATCACTGGTTCCCAAACTTTAGCTTGTTAAAATGCAAAATGTGGGTTCTACCCACTAGTCTTTTGAAGACAGTTTAGCCTGGAGAATTGGCATGTCTAACCAGCTCCAAAAGGACACTTCTGCTGACGTCAGCATGACACTTGGTCCTGCCCAGCTGTGTACTGAGGTTGCTTTGAGTCAGTATACTTTTTCAAGGCAGGGTTCTTACCATGTATGCCTGTCAGGCCTAGTACTTGTTTTGTAGTCCAAGCTGTCTGCACATTTATACCAGTCTTGGCTGCTTCAGCCTCTCAGTACTAGGATTACAGGCATATGCCACTTGGCCTGGCTTTTGAGTCAGTGCTTTCTGCTCAGGTATTTACATAAATCTTTTCACCTACCTGCCTGGGAAGAAATACCCATCACAGAGACTTTCCTGTTCTAAGTAAAGAGATCATGTGAATGTATGTTAATATATGTAATATTTTTATGACTAGTAACTTTATGAGTGGGCAGCGTCTGGCTTTGTTTTCTGGGACCTTAGTGTATGAAATCAGTCAGCTACTAGAAAGAAGGGTGATAGGAAATGGAAGCTTCTTACCACATACTATAACCGCTTGGCTAAGAGATATCAAAAAGGCATGAGATGTTAAGCCAGAGTGCTTTGGGTTTCAAGACAGAAACCCAACCCAAGACTGAAGGGGTTGGATGTTAGAGCTGTGGAGTCCAGGGGTAAAGTGGTACACCTGAATCAGCATTATTGGTGGAAGGACTTTAGTTCACTTTTCAGCTCGGCTCTCCTCCAAGTTAGATTTCTTCTTAGAAAGACTCTGTCCTTGGAGAGGCCTTTGGTAACTCTAGCCATTGCCCATCAACTGAGCAGCCTTAGAGTACTGCTTCTTCTGTGATTTCACTAAGGGTCCCAGGCCAGGTATTTATGGCCCAAGTTGGGTCGTGTGCCCATTCTTGAACCAGTCAATTCACTGGAACTCTGATAGGCCAGTTTTATTTACTTACTTACTTACTTGAACTTGCATTCTTTTACTGCCTCAGCTTCCTGAGTGCTGGGATTACAGGTGCATGTCACTATACCTGGTGGATATGCTGGGTGTAGTGTCTCTTGCCTCCTGCTGTGTGTTCTCACAGGACAGCTGTGATCTGTTACAGGAGTGAGGTGGTACAATCACAGATGTTCCTATCAGTTTGTAAGGAATCCCTCTGGCCCAGCCCCTGGTAAAGTGTACTTAGGGACTTCACCACAGCATTTAGGGCCTGTATCAAAGCCATAAAGTGACTTTCCCTTATTCTCCACAAGTGTTCATGCTTGTCTCTTTAATGTCTTCATGGATGTGCTCTAAGGGACTGCTGAATCCTGCAGCAGGAAACATAAGCTTGTCTTTATCCTCAGGTCTGCATCATGTTTATCAGTGGAATTTTTTTTGTTTCTTTTTTTTTTTTTCATCTTTTATTGAATTTTTGAAAATTTCATATAATACATCTTGATCATATTTAGACTCCCCTCTCCTATCTGCACCCCTCTTATAGCCACCCCCACCAGATTTCATGCATTGTCATATATATTAAGGCCTATTAGCCAAGTTTGTATCCCCAAATGTCCCTTGGTGTGAGTCTATCCACTGGAGCCTGGTCAGCCTATCTCACATCACTCCCTTAAGGAAAAGCAACTCTCTCTCCACCAGTACTCATTGGTTGCCAATAGTTCTTCAACTAATATTGGGGCTTCTTACCCATTTCCCCATTTCTTTGCTGGGTTTTTGTCTGGTTTGAGTTTGCATGGGTCTTGTGCATGCTGTAAGTTCATATAGCAACTTCTCAGCTGCTTGGAAACCTGTTGCCTTGTAGTTGTTTACCACCCCTGGCTCTTAGTCTTTTTGCCCCTCTTCTGCAGGGGACTCTGAGCCATGGGTGGCAAAGTTTTGATATAGGTGTCCTACCCAGGGACAAACACTCTTCAGTCTCTTATTCTCTGCATTTTGGCCAATTGTGGCTTTCTGGGTTAATCACCATCTGTTGCATGAGGAAACCTCACTGGTGAGAGTTGAGAGTTGAGAGATGCATTAATATGCTTTCTGCCCCTGTTCCACTATGTTCCCTGAGCCTTATATGTAGAGGTTGCATTGTAGACGTGTCACTTAGAGCTGGGCGTCTCACAGGCACTTATTCTGTGTGGCTGACCATTTGTGGAGACTGTGTAATAGTCTTCATCCGTTGCAAATAGAAGCTCTCTGATGAGTGGTAAGAGGTACACTTGTCTGTAAATATAAGGATATATATTTCAAATATAGTAAGAAACTATGTTGGTCTAGGAATGTTACAAAAGTAGTTTTTTCTCTAAGGTCTATGACCTCTCGAACCATGTATATTTGACTATGTTCCCACCCATTGAGTAGGCCTTAAGCCCAATTAGACAGCTGTTGATTACTCCCCAAATAAGAGTGCCACTACTGCACCAGTAGAGATAGTTTGCTAGGCCTGTCATTGTTGGGTTTATTAGCTTTACAGCTGGGTGGGACCATTGATTGGTTTTCTCCCTTGGCAGCTTGCATAGTATTGTCTGATACTGTGAGAGCCAGTCTTCAGGGAGGAGGCTTCCAGGTCAGCTCCAGGCCCATTGCTCCATCAGTGGACTTTTTTTTTTATTCCATTGGCACTCATTTCCTGTACCAGGCTGAGGGCCATCAGGGCTCTGATCCTTCTTCAGCTTCTCTCTCTGTTCTCCTTAGCATTTTGTGACCTTGTTTTGGCATGGTCTGGTGCTTGTATCCTAATAGGATGTAATTGTGGGAGCACAAGACCAGGAGAGTTTGCAGGCAGGGTCTACCCACAAAGCGGCCAGGCCACTGTTCTTTTGGTGACAACAGAGCTGGTTCCGTGTAGAAACCAGGGTTTGCTGCCGTCCTGGAGTTCCAGAGCCCTGAGCTTGCTTTTTATAAAGCCCAGTTGGCACTTGATTGGCTGTCAGTCTCTTAGTAAAGAAATTAGTTCATGGGGCTGGAGAGATACTCAGTGGTCAAGAGCACTGCCTGCTCTTGCAAAAGACTTGGGTTCGGTTCCCAGCACCCACATGGCAGTGAACAATTGTCCTTAACTCCAGTTCCAAGGGATTCAGCACTGTTTTCTGACCTTCATGGACATTGCAAACACATGGTACAGTTACATACATGCAGGCAAAATATTCCTACATATAAACTAAAATCAAACAAAATTTTTTAAAGAAATTAATTCATTACTTAGTAGTGAAAGGTGGAAATTCTGGATGAATCATTATAAGGTACATATATATCTTTTTAGACATTTTTCCTATCATCCCATACATAAAAATATAGGCATTTTTCTTTTTAGTCAAAAGGTAACATATTCCACACACTCCTGCATTAAGATATCTATATATGAAGAAATAATGTATGTGTATTTATACATACACATATGCATAATACTTATAGATATGCTCTACACATGGTAAACAAATGTGGCCTTTGTAAAGAAATTGGCAAGCCTGATTGTAACAGTGCTTTTCCAGAGAGGACTGTGAGCAAATCAGACATTCCTATTACCACACTCAAATGGAAAGTCTCAGAAAATATTGGAGGAAAGTTCCATTTCCAGCTTTTTACCTCGTCCTACCTGTTCCTGTGGTGTGCCCTATAAGCTGCTGGGTGAACATCCTTCTGTTTGCACTTATTCTCTGACGTGGGTGGTGGGTGTCTTCTCTGCTGGTGCTGGGGCAAGTCCTGAGGGAGGGAGGTGGAGCCAAGGAGAGCTGCAGTGTGTTCTCATCACCATGGTCTTCAGTGATATCCAGCTGGCCTTATAGTGACAGCTGACCAGAGACACCAACATAGGCATCCAGGCTCATTCATTTGATATTTATTCTGCAAGTGCTGACTGGATCACCTGCTGGCTCTGAGGGTAGATGATGAGCTGGGACGAGCCTCTCTCCCTTGTGGACCTGTACATCTGCCTTTCTGAAAAGACACCCACAGTTTTTGTCCACCAACTCTTATTCAGTTACCATATCAACCAGTGCAGTTTTCTCCATAGCTTACTGTTAGTGTATAGTATGGTGGTGGTGGGGGTAATAGACAACTCTCAGTTTTATTTTCCCGCTCTTACAATAGTTTCATGCCTCTCTGTCTTCAAGAATAGATAGTCATTGCACATATAAACATATGCACACACCCCACTCATAAGAATAACTTGAAAGTTGGATGTGAAATACTGCTCTTTCCACATGACTGATTTTGTTGAATTACACAGCAGTGGACCCTCTAGGCATACCTGGAGATTGATTCCAGTTTCATGCAAAGCAACTAAGAGGGTGGTTTCCTGGATCTTCAGAGAACACAGGACACCCAAGTAATTTGGGTGGGTTTATTACTTGGGGGTAACTTAAATAGCATTACAACCTACATTTTGGCTTTCTTGGGGATTTTGTAGGCCAGGTACAAAGCAGAAAGTGCATAGAAGATGTGATCCACTTGGCCTGGGAAGAGAAGCTCTTTCTCCTGGCTGATGAGGTAAGAGCAGTCCCAAAGAGGGGTGGGGTAAGTTCAGAGAGGGAGGGGCAAGCTTCTTTTGTAGGGGAGGGACCCAAGTCTGACTGTTGTGTAGTCAGAGAGCACTTTCTAGGACAGAGTATTTCTGGCCAAGGGTGAGGATATCCTGTTCATTCTTAGAACCTGTGAGTGTGAGACCTAAAGTATTCCTGTGGTGGTTTGGGCTCTAGTTGTAGATTTGAATATAAATGTAAATATAAATACAGATACATGCAACTAGAGAGATGGCTCAGCAGTTAAGAGCACTGGCTGTTCTTGCAGAAGACCTGGGTTCAAATCCCACGTAGCAGCTAAGAGCCATCTGTAACTCCAATTCCAGGGGATCTGATGCCCTCTTCTGTCCTCCGCAGGCACTGCATGGCATGGGTGTACTTACACACATACAGCCATAACACTCATACACATAAATTTAAAAAATTTTAAATATAGAGATAAATATATAGGCAGGCAGGCAGACAGACAGACAGAGATAGGTAGATAGATAGAATGATTAAGTCTTTGCTATGTAACCCAGGCTAGCCTAGAACTCATGCGTAGCCCAGACTGACTTCAAACTCACAGCAGTTCTCCTGCCTCAGTCTCCCAGAATGTTGAGACTGTAAGATGCCACCACACCCAGCTAAATTTCAGAATTTTAACACATGTTAAACTTGGAGAAGGGGAATGAAAAAAAGATTGTAGGGTCACAGGCATCTGGCTGGATGCAGGGACTCAAGCCCTATCATCTAGATTCTGCCTCCTTTCATCTCTCTGTGCTAGCCTCATTCACAGGCCTTTATCCTCCCAGCCTAGAAGAGGGGCTTCTACTTACTTGTTTTTCTGTTGAGCTGTGATAAAACACTGACCAAAACCAACTTGGAGAGTAAAGGGTTTGTTTGGCTTACAGCTCACGGTCCTTCATGAAAGGAGCCGAGGCAGGAACTGAAGCAGAGATCACAGAGGAATGCTTGTTCCTGGTTGCTTCCCCTGGCTTATACTCAGCTACTTTTCTTATACAGTCCAGCCCCACCTGCCCAGGATGACATCACCCACAATGGGCTGGGCCCTCCCACATCAATTAGCAGTTAATAAAATGCCTCACAAACATCCTGATGGAAGAAATTCCTAGTGAAGTTTTCAGGAGTATCAGATTGACCACTGAAGCTAACCAGCACATGGCTTTCCATCTTGTCAGTCCAGCAGTAGTCTCTGAGTTGCACCTGATTGGTTCAGCTTGGGTCACACTTTGATTGCTGAACCAATCACTGTAGCCTGGGGATTGCAATAGGCAAATTGGCCTGGCCTGAGAAGGTATAAGATCTCTGGCCTGGCCTTCCCAAACTCCCAAATTAAAGCAGGGGAAGGCCATTCCCTGAGGGAAAATCAAGGGATTCTTACCTAAGAAGGGAATGTGGCTGCCCTGTGGCAGAAATGACTGTAGTCCTGTGTTTCTGGGTAGGTACACATATCCACATCTATCATCTCATTTAGCGCCAACAACCTATGACCCTCTAAGGATCTCAGTTCTATAACTCTAGCTTCTTGAACCCCAATTATAAAGCCAAGGAAGAAACAGAGGGTCCATCGCCTTGCGTTTTCACTTTATCTTCATTCCTGTATGCTTTCTGGTTAGTTGTAGCTTCTAGAACAATGCCTTCATTTCTCCATAAACTTCCCACTCCATTCCCATGTTTAAACTCAGCTTACTCACCAAATGTTATCATAATAAATCATGGACCTAAAATACTCAGTTCCAGTAAAGAAAAGGAGCAGCAGAGAGACCTAGGGATTTCCTTGTGACCTAGGGTACTGAGTGTCCCATAGGGTCTAGGAAGAGCAGCGCCTGGGCTGTTGAAGATGGAGCTTGTCTGACCCTCCCATTAACCCAGAAAGCCCGTTTCCCTGGTTATGGAACAGGTAGCCTGGGGTACTTGTAGACTGTGAGTGTTAGATCTAGGGACAAGGAAAATAAAACATGTGTTTGTTCTGCTCTGGCAATGAAGAGTGGACACAAGGACAGAATAATTCCGAACCTGGTAAGTAACTTCTAAAATAAGGAACACTAACTTCTGTCATTACTCATGTTATTAAAGAAATAAACACTGCTTCAAGAAAAAGACTGGCTTGGGAAGATGGGAAACTTATTATCACTGGTCTGATGAGTTGGAAAAGCAGTCTACAGGCTGGATAGTGGTCAATGTGAGAGGTCAGGGAGCTTATTAAGCTGTCTTAAGTTTAGATTCCAGACTGAGCCTTCTCATTTGCTCTGGAAGGTTCCTTCAGGCACAGTCTAGTTTGCTATGGAACTGGCATTAGAAACTGAGCCAAGTGATTTGTTCAGGACTGAGTTTTGTGATCCTCCCCTGACTACAGGTTAACTGAGCATCTGTGTACTCCTTTTGTTCCCCACACCCTTGGCTACCCTCAGCAGCACCCTTTATTTATTTGGGCCTCCCAGAAGGACTCACTGTGACTGTCTCTGTCGTGTTCTCCCTGCAGGTATACCAGGATAATGTGTACTCTCTGGATTGTAAATTCCACTCTTTTAAGAAAGTGCTTTACAAGATGGGCCATGAGTACTCCGGCAATGTGGAGCTTGCATCCTTCTACTCCACCTCCAAGGGCTACATGGGCGAGTATGTTGGCTCCACCCTCTTCTGCTGCCCCTAGGCCTGCTTGGTACCAGTGTTGCACTTTTCTCTCTGTCTGCTCTTCTGCTGTGCCCCATGATCTACCCACATGGTTTGATAGAGGGCAGCCCTTAACTTTCAGGAGACAGGCTATAACTTTCCAGCAGAATCCAATAATATAAGAACTGCCATTGTACAGGGACTCAAGTGAGATAAGGCCATGCTTGAAAGAAACTGGACTGTGGATAAATGATAGACATTAAAACAGGCTCCCATAGGAGCTCCAAACCTGGAATCTTCTGCCAGCACCATCACCATCCCCCTAATGTTGACTAAAATCTGAGGAGCCATGGAGAGAGCGGTTGAGTAGACAGATGCCAAGCTTTGTGGGCAAGGCTGCCTTAGCAGTTGGAGACAGGAGGCTCCCAACCTTTGTCCTGTATTTGTTCATTTGAGCACTATTTACTGAGCACTTACTCTGAGTCTGTAATACTGAGGACCCTGCCTTCACAGAGCCCATGTGCTAGTGAGGAGTGAAGCAACAGACAATGAGGAAAGCCATGTGGTAGGTAGGGAACAGAAATGAGAAAAGAAGTAGAAATGCCATAAGATGGGACTGGAGTTAAAGGACAGAGAACAGATGAGGAAGGAAGCCATTTGGGAGAACATCCCAGTGGCACATGCAAAGAAAGACCCAGAGGTAGACGCATGTGTGGGTATTGGAGGAGCAATACTGGAGCTGGAAAGGATAGTGAAGGACGAAAGTGGGGTAAGCTGAGACCAAGGTCACAGAAGTACGGATCACCGGGGCTGCGTAGTTACTTTTCAGTTTTGCTCAGTGAGATAGGAACAGAGGTGTGTCCTCACCTCACAAGACTTCTGGTTACTCTGTGCCACAGAGTAAGGCAGCTGCAGGGACTCAAGTCAAAAGGCCCATACTGTCCCCTGGGTGAGTAAAGCTGGGGAGATGATCCGGAATGTGATTGAACATGAGTTGAGAGGAGTTGCTAGTGGAAACAATGCAAGTAAATAGGAGTCAAGGGTGAATCTAGGTTTTTTGTTAAAACAACAGGAAGGATAGAGTTGCCCTCAGCAGATGAGGAAGGTTTGGGAAGAGAAAGCAAGAGTTTGGCTTTAGATGTGTTACACTGCAAATGCTTGGTATGAAGCCAGGAACTGGACCTAGGTCCCTAGTACTCAGTGGTTTAGAAAAGAGGAAGAGAGATTGAGAAGGCAAAACTGAAGGCATCATTCCCAGCACTGGGGTTTCTTGGGTGCCAGGCATCAGCATAAGGACAGTGCCCATTTGGTAGCCTAGAGTCAGTATTACTCTAAAGTCTGAAGAAATGCTTTGGCCAGGTCAAGAGAGCCGTCCCCTTGAATTGTTCTTGGTTTTATTTAACACAGGCATGAGTTAATTTATGCTCCTTTCAGGTCTCCCTGGGTAGCAGCACTGGCTTTTTACTAGACTTTTATATGTAGTGTTTTTCTTAAACAAATCTGTTTTCTATTAATTTTTCATGTGTTTATCACATACATCCATCTCTCTGTCTCTGCTGTTGTTTTGAAAAAAGCATTCATGCTGGACGTGGTGATGCATACCTTTTTCCCAGAACTCAGGAGGCTGAGGCAGGTGGATCTCTGTGAGTTCAAGTGAGTTCCAGACAAACTGGAGCTACAGGGAGACCCTGTCTCAAAAGGATGAAAAAAAAAAAAAAGAAAGAAAAACCATTCACTCAGATGCTGGTGTCCTGGATTATGCTCTGTCCTCCTCAGGTCTAAGTTGCCAAGGAATAGACTGTACAGTTTGATTTTTCTCCTCAACTGGCAGGTAAAAAACAAAGATCAGAGAAGAGGTAGGAATGTTGAAAAGTGGAGAGTAAATAGAAAGTTTGTTCTTATAGCTTGTGCTATAGGAAACTTTTCCAAGATAGCAGAATTCGTCTTCTTGCCTTGGAGAATCAAATCCAGGGATCAGATAGTCTTTACAGTTCAGTTCAGCTGCATGATCCCAAAAATGTTTTTTTGAGCATCTAACCATGTCAGGTGCTCTGGAGTTGATAGTGAGGGCACAGAGGAAGGTAATGAGGCCCTTGCATCAGGAGACCTATAGGTCTGAAGGTTTGTAGTCACAGACCAAGGAAGGTACAGCACCAGAAAGTGGCTGAGAATGAGTAGGAAAGTTTTTTTTGAACTAACAGAATAATCTCAACTCATTTCCATATGATGTGACTCTGTATCAGTCAATAGTCTTTTGGCTATAATTTAAAGAACTCAATTTGACATGGTTTGTTCCCCCCCCCCAATTTTTTAATCCCATATTGGGGTGCTAGGGCCATGGCTCATTGGATAAAGTGCTTACCACACAAGTGTAAGAACCGGAGTTCAGATCCCTAGGACTCATGTAAAAGCAGGGCAGGTATGGTGGCTCTGTATGAGCCCAGCACTGGGGAATCAGAAACATGGGGTCCCTGGGCAAGCTAGCTAGGCTAGCTGAAATTGACTGGCTTCTGGTTCTACAAAAGGACCTGCCTTAATAAAGTGGAAAACACTCAAGGAAGACACCCAGCACCAACTTTCAGCCTCCATGTACATACACACTTGTATGCACATAACACATACCAATTGAATATCCCATGTTGCTAAAAAATCCATGGGTGGAGTCGAATCAGGCAACCTGAAGATACCAAGGAAGGGATATGTTTAGCATGTGCAGGACCCTGGGATCCACACGTAACCCAAACCAAGAACTCAAGAAAGATTGCGAATAAGACCCTTCATCTGGGCTCTTGCTTCGTCATGTTTTTCTTTAGTCTTGCTCTGTTTTGGGTCAGTTTTGTGTTCCAACAGCAAAAATTGTTCCAGCAAAAATCATCATTCTGACTCCCCTTATCTCTAATGAGCTTGCGCTCACTTCTAGGGTCCGTACAGTGGGATGCCAGCAGTGAATCTTGTAAGTAGACACTAGTGTATGAGTTACATTTCAGGCTAAGTTGCTGTAACAAAATGGACCCAAGATGTAGTGGTTCAAACAAGGTAGAAGTGTTATCTGTCTTTGCCATAATTGTTCAAGATACCAGAAGACCAGAGTTGGCTGTGCTTCTTGAGATCATTCAAGGACTGGAGCTTGGGACTGATCCACTGTCTCCATCTCTCAGGAAACAGGAATGGAAAAGAGGAAAGAACACTTGTTTTTCCTTGTGAGGAGGTGAATTTGTAACATCACTTCCATTTACCTTTCATTGGCAAGAACTCAGCCACACCAGCCACGCACTGCTTAGGATGTGGTATCACAGAGTCTGGCTGTTCAAATTACATTTTCTGACATCTTCCTATAACTGGTGGGTATGTTCCATTCTCAACCCTCCAGGTGTGGCTACAGAGGGGGCTACATGGAGGTGATCAACTTGCACCCTGATATCAAGGGCCAGCTGGTGAAGCTGCTGTCAGTTCGTCTCTGCCCACCAGTGTCTGGGCAGGCTGCTATGGACATTGTGGTGAACCCCCCCGTGCCAGGAGAGGAGTCCTTTGAGCAGTTCAGCAGGGTGAGTCTGCTGTGATCTATGACCTGTCTATATCACTACTACTGTCGGAGTTATGGTGACTTATCAGCCACATCTTCAGTGGGCCATATGGCTGCTGGTGTTCCTGTGTCTCCATTCATATACATCCTCCATAGGGCAGCCACAGTGAATCTTGGTGCCCAAACCACCCTCATAAGTTGAGTCTGAGGATGCAACAGAGAAGTGTTTGAAAGTGGATGACTGCAACTGTGTGTGATGAATGAACCCTTTCTTCTTACCTGTGAACATCATAGATGGGAGGGGGTCCAGGAGAGGCTAGTGTCTTGCAGGGATTCTGTCACTAACCTGAAAAGAAGGGGCAGTAGATAAGGGCAGCATCAATTTAAAAAATAAAAACAGGGGTTGGAGAGATGGCTCAGTGCTTAAGAGCACTGACTGCTCTTGCAGAGGACCCAGGTTCAATTCCCAGCACCCACATGGAGGCTACAAACCGTCCTTAACTCCAGTCCCAGGGGATCCGACAGCCTCTTCTGACCTCCGTGGCATTGCACAACATGGGTGCATTCACACACATGCAGGCAATACACGCAAAAAAAAATAAGAAAGACTGACTCCCATCAGGCCTCGTGACACCTCAGTGAAGAACATGCTTTTAACTCTAAGATGTTTACATATTTTATGGTTTGCTCACTGGTTCATGTGTGCACATGCATATATATATATGCATGCATATTTACATATATATTCACATACACAAGCACACACCTTTGATTTTTGTTAACTTACTATTCTTTTCTCCCTCTCCCTCTCCCTCTCCCTCTCCCTCTCTCTCTCTTTCTCTTTCCTTCTCTTTCTGGGGGGAGGGGTGTTTGTTTGTTTCTTGGGCACAAGGTCTCATAGCCCAAGGTGGCTTTGAATTCAAGATCCTCCTGCTTCAACCTCTTAAATGCTGGGATTACAGGCCTGCACTACCATACCAGTCTTCTTCGCTTCCTCCTCCTTTTCCTCCTCGTATAATAAAATATAAATAACAAAAGACTTCCTATTTTTATTTAAGATTATGTTTATTTGTAATTGTGTATGTGCGCATATGTGCATATGTGTGCAGGTGCTTGTGGAGCCTAGAGGCATAGCATATCCTGTGGGAGGTGGAGTTATAGGCAGTTGTAAGCCACCTGATACAGGTACGCTCTTAACTGCTGAGCCGTCTCTCCAGTCCCTGCTCTTTTAAGTGTACAGTTCTGTGGCATTAGAGAAAGGTAGTTGCATTGTTGTGCAGCTATCTCCACCATCCATCTCAAGAACTTTTCCATCACCCCAAACTGAAAGTTGGCTGGGCATGGTGGTGCTCACCTTTAATCCCAGCACCCAGGAGGCAGTGAATTAGAGGCTGGCCAGGGCTACATATTGAGACCCTGTCTCAAAAACAAAATGAAGGTTATACCTAGTAAATAATAACTTCCCACACTCTTCTTCCTCCAGCCCTTGGCAGCCAGCATTCTATTCCTGTCTCCATGAATTCCCCTAGTATATAATATGTATTTACATATATATTATATCTGAACCAGTTGCTCACTCTCCTTTGCCTGGGTCTGTGTCCACACACACCACACTGAGAGTGAGACAGGTTAGTCCCCCAGATGACGTGATGGCGCCTCTCTCCAGGAGGACCCATGAGTCTCCTAGAAGTGTCCCTAGGGTTTTCCACCCAGAGCCAAGTCCATTCAGACTTACAGGTTTTTCTAAGTTTTCAGGAATGACACCCAGGTGCAAATAGAGAATCCATTACACAGGTCATCTAGGATCTGCCCTGTGGCCTTAAACTCTCTCTGCATATTCATGTGCACCAGGGTATATGGCAGGGGGAAAAAAATCCCTGCAGAGGACCTGTGGTGCTCCCCACTTCCACCCTCACCCCATTTGCAGTGCTTGTTCACACACAAGCTCATCTTTTGTCCATCTGTCCTGTTACCCATGTATTGAAAAAACAGCCTCCTATAGCTATTATCCAGCCCTGTTCACAGAGACTGATACCTGTGTTTTCTATTTCTTATCAGGAAAAAGAGCTCGTCCTGGGTAATCTGGCCAAAAAAGCGAAGCTAACAGAAGATTTGTTTAACCAAGTCCCAGGGATTCATTGCAACCCCTTGCAGGGAGCTATGTATGCCTTTCCTCGGATTCTCATTCCTGCCAAGGCTGTGGAGGCAGCTCAGGTGAGAATAGTGGGCTGTCTTCCTGGGTTCACTTGAGCTGATAGCATCATGAGTAGTGCTGACCTTAGGGACTCTGAACTCTGTGGGCCTCTCAGACAGATGCAGTTTACTATGTGACATGTTCTCAAGAGTCCCAGCCCCAGCAGTGTGTGGTGGTAACAGGGCAAGCATGAGACAACCTCAGGTGAGAGAGACCAGTATGGGTTTTGTTAACACTTCTGTTCTGAAGGTCAGGACCTAGGGGTAATGCTATCATGGTGAGGGTACACAATGGGAACCCTCAGCTCCTCTAGCCGCTATATCCTGGAGCAGTGATTTCTAAGGTTGAATGTTCATATTAAGCACCTGGGGGTTTGTAAAAGTGCCGTTTCTGGTTCATTAAGTCTGCAGGGAGATGATAGTCTGCATTTCCAACAAGTTCTCAGATGGTGCTAAAAGTAGCGTCCTCACCCTACCCTAAATAATCTGCTGAATACCTACATACAGAATTAAACTCCCAGAGTCAGATTCTGAGAACCCGTGAAGGGATGCTGTATACCCATCTGTAAGCAGCACTGTATTAGTTACTTTTTGCATTCCTATGACCAAATACCTGACAAGAAGCAGCATGAAGGAGGAAGGATTTACTGTGGCTCCTGGTTTATGGGTACAGGCCACTGTGTGGTGGGGAGGACAAAGCACAAGGCTGCTGTTCACATCTGGGCAGGGATCTGGAAAAGGCCAGTTTGTCTTTCTCTCTTTCCTTTTGTTGTTCAGCCTTGCACCCCAGCCCATGGGATGGTGCCCACATTCAGGGCAAGTCCTCAGTTATTCTCTGGACATTCTCTCACCCACATGCTTAAAAGTGTGCTTCATTAATGCCCTCCTAGGCTTTTCTTAATCCAAGCTGACAATTCTTAGCCATCACAGGCTCTATCAGCAGGGGCCCCAGGGCTTGTCCCCTGAAATCTCCAACCAAATGCAGATCCCAGGGCCTTGTTTCAGATCATTGTGGGACTTGGCACTTAGGCAGCTGCACTCTACTTGTGAGCAGCTACTGGGGATGGGGACAAAGGGAATAGGCAGGCACTCTTCAGTGAAGATCAGGAGTACCATAGCCCCCGCCTGTCCTACTGTAGTAGCCTCAGATGTCTGGTTCCCTGAACCAACCCCCAGCTTGACCTGGTATCTTCCTGTGGGAAGAAGAAGGGCTCTGCTACAGAAAAGAGGACCCATCATTAGAGTATATCTGGCTTTGTTTCTCTTTCTCTCTCTCTCTTTCTCTTTCTCTCTTCTGATCTTTCCTTCCTTCCTTCCCTGTGCCTGCTTGCTTTTCTTTCTTTCCTTCCTTTTGTTCCCTTTCTTTCCTTTAACAGTCTTACTTCATAGCCTAGGCCTGCCTTGAATTCAAGGTTCTCTTCAGTTTTTCACTCTGGAATTACAGGTGTGAGCCAAACCAGGCTCTGGTTTTGATTTTTTTTTTTTTTTTTAAATATGTGTTGGCATGGTGTGAATGGCTCTGGTTTTGATTTTTTTTTTTTTTTTAAATATGTGTTGGCATGGTGTGAAGCCAGGTATTAATCTCAATTTCTGTCCTCCCACAGTCCCATAAAATGGCCCCAGACATGTTCTACTGCATGAAACTCCTGGAAGAAACTGGCATCTGTGTTGTGCCTGGTAGCGGCTTTGGGCAGAGAGAAGGCACCTACCACTTCAGGTATAACACTCCCTGTGATCCCTGGTTTGTCCAGGGAAACGTGGGTTCCTTAACATGAAGCACAGACTGACTTTAGAGACCAAGGAGTGTAGAGGCTCCTCCTGTGAGTACATGCTACCATCTCAAGTTTAGCCCCTCTGCTAGAGAGTAAGAAAAACTAGGAGTACTCCACAGCCATCTCCTCTAAGGAAGTCTTCCCAGACTCTCTGCCTTTCTTCCCTGCTGCCTCCCTGTCTTTTTGACACCCCTTGATAGCACACAATATTTGGATGCCCAGGACAATACCTGGCATAGCACAGGCACCATAGAGCTCCTTGGCTGTGTCACGGACTGTAACACTATTCCAAGCCCCAAAGTCTGTTGAGGGGCTGCACTGACACAGAATGAGGTCTACTTACTAGAAAACTTTCACAGACATGCCTGCCTAGCTCAGCCCCCTGTATAGATGGGAATGAAGATTCCCAGAGCTGAGCTGTTCAGCAAGCTTTTCCCACCAAGGCTGGTTCTATTCAGAATATGATCTTTTCCACACGTCTCCTGTGACTGATGCTTAAGAAAAAAAAAAGAAATGCCATGGGCTGTTGGTACCTGGATCCAAGTCCTTGCTTAGTCAAAGATATAGGTTATATCCCTGAGAGGGACAAACAGCATGATTGACCTTTGTTTCCTTGGTCACCTCTCCATGTGGTTCATAGCCCATTGAAAAAGTAGGGCTGGTCCCACCACCATGCCTGGCTGCATGTGCCTTCCCCACCACTGTGGATTCTAGCCCTCTAGAACCTTAAGCCAAACTAAACTCTTAGAAATAAAAAAAAAAAAAAAAAAAAAAAAAGGTAGTAGCACAGTGATAGAACATGTGATAAGTGTGAGGTCCTGGGTTCCGGTGCCCAATACCTCCCACAAAAAAAAATGTCACTGAATTGTCAGGACTGTAGTGGGGGATGAGTTAGTTTGCCATGGCAAACTGGAAATGCCTCTGAAGTGAAAGCTGTGGCTGAAGGTTTGGCTGATACTCAGAGACTGAATGCTGGGGCAAACAACAAAAAATCCAGGAACAAAATCTTGTTCAGTTTTTGAAAGAAAGGCTAAGAGTCCTGTTCTAAGATTAGAATGTAGTTAGACCCTTACCTAGCATGCACAAACCCCTAAATTCAGTCCTTTGCACAAAAAAATAAGATAAATCATGCTCTAGAAAGTTCTGAATACTAGTCACAAAGTGATGCCAATCCAGAACATGAGTTCCAGGACAGCCTAGGCCATAAAACACTGTTTCACAAAAAGAAGGGGGGAAAAAAAGCACCGGGTGCTGGCCTCCTACAGGAATCTGTGAGTGAGTACATTCGCACTTTGGTGAGTCAAAATACTGTGTTTATTGCTTTAGTTTACAGGTCTTACTCCAGTTAAAAGTATTTGTATATAAACTACTGTAGTGGTATCTGCCTATAGCCCCAGCTACTTGGGAGGCTGAAGGAGGAGAATTACTCAAACGCAGGGATTCCTAGCTAGCCTAGGCAACATACTGAGACTGTGTCTCAAATGAATGGATTAATGGATAGATGAAAGGAAGAATAGTGCAGAGAGTAGTTTAAGGAGAGCACTGTGCAGGGACTTGAGCTCTCTAAGCCAACAAGATAGGCCGGGCATATCCTTCTCCAGGTGGCTCGCCCACTCCACAGCAGGGCCAGAGGCGCTGTGGGATTCATCCCTCCCCCATTTTCAGAGCAGCCAAGCTGAAGCTGTTCTCTCTCCTAACAGAATGACAATCCTCCCTCCTGTGGAGAAGCTGAAGATAGTGCTCCAGAAGGTGAAAGACTTTCACATAAAGTTCCTGGAGAAGTATGCCTGAGGCTGGGGCAGGTCCCAGCAGGGACCCCTCCTTGGATCTCCTTCCCAGTGCCACCCAGGCCTCCCTCACTGACTGCCTCAGACCTCATGGGAGGTCACTGGCCATGTTCACCGTCATTTTGCCCAGGAGACTTCTTTCTTTGTGCCTTGATGTTGAGAGTTCTCTTCCAAGCAAACCTGAATTCACAGTGTCTGGCAGGCCCTGTTTGGTTATGCAACCAAAGTAGAATCATCTATGACTGTTGCTTTCAGAAAGTTCCTTTGGGTTTTTAAACAGGCAGGATACATGGAGTGAGATATTTCAGATCTGGAGAAACAAGTCGGTGTTGGGAAATATATGACTTAATCATGGTAAGGACTGAGAATCCAGAAATTAACAGTGAGATCTGTGAAATAAAACCCTTAGCAGTGTGAAAATATTGATTGAACAGTAGAGCCTGGAAATCCAGCAAGGACTCAATTTGTCACTCTGGCCTGGAGACTGGCAGCCATTAGCTCAGGGGTACACCAGATAACAGGGTGTAGGGTGTAGTGAACACAACGGGGGTGGGGTGGCCAGAGGTCCTGAGGGGAGGAGGGTGTAAACCAGGTTCCACATTGAACTGTCTTCTGATCAGCACAGCAGGTAATATCACAGCACGTTGAGCTTTGCCCATGCTTGCTAAGACCCTGGTATAAAAGGTCTCCTGAGACTTCAGGGACACAGGGTAAAGCAATATTGTGATTGTGATTATGTGGTAGGATTCTTTCTGCCCCATAGCCTGTGGATGCACCCTACTGGTTACCTAGGGACAGTTTTCTCCTATGTCTGACTGAGCCTTTATACACATTGCCCCCTGCTGGTAGCAGCAGGGATGAACAAAGGCCGAAAAATACCCTAAATTAAGAAGTGATCCTTTTTAGACTTAACAGTAAAATCCTGCAGATTTTTTAATTGTTTCAAACTGAATTTGGTCCATTTTGTAACTTTAATTGATCAAATTGCCTGGCACACTGCTGTGGAGGAGTGAATGCAGTCGGATTCAAAGAGTGTTTTGCCTTTGCATTAGTTCCTGGCTCCCTTCCCAGAGCAGCCACAGCATCAGCTATCCCCCAGACCAGAGTAGCATCCACCAAACATGCATACTCCTTGACATCAGCGCATCTGAGTAGGTCCAAGCACACAGCAAGGAAGCAGGTGCTATGGGAGCAGCAGGCTAAGCTTCCTGCCCACACACACCTTTACCATCTGTCTTCAGTGGGAACTGAGGGAAGCCAGCTCAAGAGCCTGGGGCCCTGCAAGTCCCACAGTGGAGCTGAAGGACCTGTAGAGAAATGTGAAAAGCTATAGAATAAGTTTGAAACCAGCCTTCTGTGCTATGATTCCACACTGGGTCTCCACAGGAGTATGTGATTAAAAAAACAAGACAGAACAACTTCAGGTTGTTATTACTAGCATTACATCCCTGTGAAGGAAGTAACCACATTCTCAAGTAACAGAAGTGAATGTTCTGGAACTTTTCCTTAAAAAGTTGAAAAGGTTGCATGTGTGCTTGCTCTATGGCATATAAACCAGAGTCCCGAGACTCCTGATAAGAAGATTAAGTAGAAGCTAGTATATTTTTTATATTTTTTAACAATGATTTTTTTCATGGGGAGATGAAAGGGTTAGTATTTATAGTCTTAACAAATCTAGTAATTTTTATAAGTCTCTTCAGATATAATCTCCCAAATTTTGCAATGTTTACATGTTTTTAAAAGATGACATACATACTTGGTTTGCTTTTTAAATAAAAGGTAAGCTATTCTAAGAGATTAACTTCAGGTAGGAATGCTGATTATAATAGGCTGGATTTTCTACTACAGATTCTGTTCCCATGCATTTTCTGTTCCAGCACCAGCCAAGAATATTATTTGTCATTTAGGGTCACCTGAGATGTCATTTGGGGCAACACCTGTGCAGTTTCCGTTGCTCACCCAGAGCTGGGTATGTGTGGTGCTGTGAAGGCTGGTGCCAGGCAGGCTTCACCTCGGGCAGTCACACACACCTAGAGAAATTATTCCCATTTGAATGTAGGAACAAGCACAACCTACCTGTTCTTGACTCTTTTCCAATCTCAATTCTCATAGGCCTCTCCTGACAAAGGTCCTTGATAATAGCTGTGCTGGAAATTTCAAAACAATAAAATATATGTCCAAAATGGTAACTTTAACTTTTGTCAATTAAATCTAAAAGTTGAGTGACATCACTAATTTTATATCTTTACTCTTTGTAATGTATGTTCCTAGCACTGTAATGAGTATTTCTGCCCAAACGTCACAAACTCCAACCCAAGCTTCTCAGTTTCCAGACCCCAAGAGGACAGGGACCTATTGAGTTGGAGAGACTTCATGAATTTTTTTTTTGAAACAGTGTCTTGTTACCTGCTACTTGCTGTATAGCCCCGGCTGGCCTGGCCTCAGACTCACTGTGGTGGCTGGGAATGACTTCGAACTCCTGATCTTCTGCCTGCCTTCACCTTCTAAGTGCTGGGACTACAGGCCGGCACCGCCATGCCCAGCTCTAAGAATATGTTAAAATGAATATAGAACTTGGCTTTCTAGTGGAAGTATGAATTGACAGCATCTTCATAAGACTGGAAGAGGTGGTAGCTAGGAGCTAGAAAGGCCAGTGGGCATTGTGTTAGTTTTACCCAGGTTTCCCATATCCATATCAGTTTTGTTTATGGTTTTCAAATTCAAAACCCTCTAAAACTAAACTTCCAATACCAATATCTTTATTAAAATTTAGAAAATCTACAAAGAAAAAAATTAAGACTCTTACTTGGAATCATTAGGAACCCACTCAACATAGTTTAAACAAGGAAATGTACTGCCTTTGTGACTGGTAGGGAAGCTGGTTCCGCTTCTGATGTTCACTTTGGTAAATGCAAAAACTATCCTGCCCCATTGCACCTTTTTTTTTTTTAATCCCAAGGAAGTACTGATTGAATTGCCCTGGTCCCATGTGCCTTTTCTGGAGCCAGTTTTTATGGCTTGTGAGAATAGGGTACTTTGCTGATCCTGGTGTAAAAGGAGGTGGGAAACGGTCTTAGGATCATCAGTCCCATTGAAGCTGTAACACTGAAGGAGAAGAGAAGCTACTCTCCATAGAAAAGGTGTCGGAAGGTTCTACACCAACAAATCTCATGTGCCACAGTGCCTTTTTAGAGAGGGGTTGGAGAGTGGTGTGTTCATGGTGAGGTCGGAGTCATTGGTAGATTTGTAACTTGATGGCATTCCTGAAATGTGGTAGAACTGGGCCTAGCTGGAAGAAGCAAAGATGCAGGTTGGGGGGATTGGGGAGCTGCCACCATGCCTGCTTTTAAAGTTCACTTCTTTTTCCTTTAAAATATTTTAAAGCAAATCTTGAACATCATTGAATATTATCCTTACATTATTCAGTCTGTATCTTTTCCAGTTTAGTTTATTTTTAAATTTTATTTCAGTTTATTTGATACAGTATGTAGCTCAGGCTGAACTTAAACTCACCATATATAGCCCAGAGTGGTGTAAAATTCAGTGACTGTCCTGCCTCAGCCTCCTGAGTAGTAGGATTATAGGCATGTTTAATGTGTATCTTTTAAAAGGATGCTGCTTATGTGTTTAATGCCTAACAAAATTAACAAATCATATTATGCTTAACCCAGATTATATTCACATTGCTGTAAGTGATATTTTTCTCTATTTTTTCTTAAATATATGTGTTGTGTGTTTGTGTATCACACATGCATGCCACAATGCACATGTGAAGGTCAAGGACAACTTATAAAAGTAGGTTATCTCCTTTCACCATGAAGGTTCTAGGAATTGAATTTAGGTCATCAGGCTTGGTGGCAACCTTTACCCACTGAGCCATCTTGCCAGTCCCCTTACTATCTATCCTTAAACAATCAAGCCCAGCCCCAGCCTCACGTATTTCTCTGACAAAAGTGGCAATTGCTGTAACTATTCACACATTTCCTCTTCCCAGTTTTCTTAGCTAAAATTAAGCCAAAAGACTCTTATTTACACACAACACACGCTGACACAGTTTGGCTGAAAACAGAAAACTAATATAGATAAAAAAGACTTTATTTTTAAAATCCAAGAAAACCAAGCCTGGTAGCGCATGCCTATAATCCTAGTACTTAGGAAGGTGAGGCAAGAGAACGGGCCATAAGTTCTGTCTGAGCTACACAGTGAGACTGTCTCACATATCTATAATCAAATAAAATTGGCTGAAGGGAGTACACAGTGCTCTTACAGAGGACTTGAGTTTGTTTCCCAGTACCCAGGGTGGTACATCAGGGGAGCCAATGTCTCTGGCTTCCATGGGCACCTGCACGCATGTTCATATACCTCCCCCCACACACACACACATAATTAAAAATAAAATGTTTTGGAGCTGGAGAGATGGCTCAGTGGTTAAGAGCACTAACTGCTCTTGTAGAGGGCCCAGGTTTGATTCCCAGCACCCACCATGGCAGCTAACAACTGTTTATAACTCCAGTTCCAGGGGATCCAATGCCCTCTTCTGACCCCCATGGGCATTGCATGACACAGGTCAACATACACACATGCAGATAAAATACACACATACACATAAAATAAAAATTAAATTTAAAAAATAGAATGTTTAAAAATCATATTGATGCAGGCAGAGGCAGGTGGATCTCTATGATTCAAGGCCAACTTGGTCTACATAGTAAGTTCCAGGCCAGCTGGGGCTACAGGGAGACCAAGTCTCAAAGAAACCAAAAAAAAAAAAAAAAATTGATGCATTCTTAATTACATAATTAACATCATGTCATATAACACGGCTTACCACATTCTCTAATAGCAGTATACTTTATTGAATGGGTGTAACAGACCATCATGCAGGTGTCAAGTTGTTTTCAATTACCCACAGTCATAACCAGTCTTTCCACAGTCTTATATTTGAAGTTGTTGCACTGCTATAACTTCCCTAAAATAAAAAATTTCTAGATAAAAAAATGTTTAGGTACCAGGGAGAGCTTGTCACTTACACAATAAAAACACATTTTGAAGCAAATCCTTTCCCTCTAACTTAGGAGTTTCCATTTTGTATGATCAAAGTACAAAACACCTAGGATAGCTGCTTAACAGTATCTGGTACCCAGGAATGCTGAACAAAGGCCCCAGGCATTGAATACCCCCACCCCATTCTTTAATGTGGAAAATCGGTATTAATACATGAAGTGCTTCTCCAAGTCCCAAACCTTTCTGGTAAAATTGTTGTTCCCCCTTCCTCTACTGTGTAAGGGCTTTGGATCCAGGGCCTTGTGCATGCTCCCTCTGTATGTGGACATGCTTGCACTACCACTGCCAAGTCATATCATTTAGGTGAAAATGGCCCTACCTCAAAGCTCCCAATTAGGCATGTGACCATACCTGTGTAATCAGTGTGCCATTGCCCACTGATCACAGCGATTGGCTCAGGATGAGCATGTAACCCACACCAATAGCCTGAATGTTATCTTGTCTTGAAATTTCTCTGCTAACAAAATAAGTCCATTTCCTTTCAGTTAAGTCTCACTCAGGCTCTCAGTAAATGGGCAGAATATAGCCAGATTGTTTACCAGAATGTCACAGGAATGGCCCCTATCCTAGTTTGTGACAAAACCTTGCTCCCCTCTGAAGCTTTGTGAGCCAGGCCTCCCCTTTTCTCATCTCTCTCAGCATTCTGACCTTGCAAGATCCCTCAGGAATGTCCCCTTCAACTCTGCTTACAGCATCCAAGGGCTTTTCTACCCCAAAGTTCCCAACTCTTCCACATCCCTCCAACAAAGCGATTTCAAAGAGCTGAGAGCTGTATGGTCAGGTTACCACAGAAATGGCCGCATTCCTCAGTCTTAACTTTCAGTATTTAACTGCTATTCTTGTTGCCATGGCAAAACACTGTGAAAAAGCAACTGAAAGGAAAAAGTTTATTTTGGTTCACAATTCAAAGCTACAGCCCATGATGGAGGGGAAGTCATGGCAGTAAGCACCTGACCACACTGCATCCTCAATCAGGATGCATAGAACAATGAATGCTTTTCTCTTTTTTATTCAGTTTGGGACCCACACCATGGAATGGTACTGCCCATATTTAGGATGGGTCTTCCTACCTCAACTTAATATAGAGAAACACTCACAGACATGACCAATGACTTGTTTCCATGGCAATTCTAAACCTCACCAAGTTGACAATTGAAATTAACCACAACACTAGGGTTGAGCTTGAACTCCTGATTCTTCCACCTCCTCTACCTCCCCAATGCAGTTGCAGGTGTGCACCACCATACTCATTTCCAGGATCTTGGACTATCGGTGTTAAAGATAATATGTCATGGATTACTCAGTCTTCAGATGTGTGCCTCACTGTTGTTATGGTGTATTTTTAGTCACTGTGCTCATAAGATGTTTCAGATGTGTGTACTGATCAATGTTAACATGGGTTAATCACCCATGATATACTTTATAATGTTTGGGTCATATAAAAATATGTAACATTGGGGCTCAGTGGATGAAGTCACTTGCCAACAAGCCTAAGGACCTATGTTTGATCCCCCAGACTCACATGGTAAAAGGAGAGAACTGACTCTTGTGGGTTGTCCTCTGACCTCCACACTACGGCACACACTGTTAGGGTCCGTGACTCCGTGGGTCTCTTCTGAAGAACAAATACAAGAGTACGGAGATGCAAAAATCAAACAGAGTTTTAGTAAACCAGCTAGCTGGGATCGACTGTCCTTTCCAGAACACGCCGGTCTGGTTAGAGCAATCGACCCTGAGACAATTTTAGGTAAAGATTGTATAGGCTTCCACAACCGTTACACAAAAGCCCGCGTTTATACAGCCAATAGTTTCAAAGCAAGCATTTCACAAACCAATAACTTTAAAACAAGAAAAAATATCATAGCTCCCTTCAGGTGTCTCAATTGGGAAGAGATGCTTGGTATGTGCCTGGTACAACTCTTTCTTGTTATCTTGTGTAAGCAGACATGACATGACACAGAACAGGTCAGGCTCCGGGGGTTGTAGCACTTTGCCTCTATCTCCGGGGATGCCTGTCTCTAGTTGAGTTAATTGGTTACAAGCAGTAAATTTAAACAAGCAGTATATTCAAACAAGCAGTAAATTCCTCTTTCCCTAACAACACCACACTGAATAAATAAAAGATAATATAAAAATTTTAAAAGGGGGGCTGCAGAGATGGTTCAGC